AGTTCAGGTTTATACGGATGGCAGTAGAGACGATTATTATCGATCTGGCAGCGGAATTTACTTGAAATCGCAAGAAAATAACTTAACCCTCCAAGCGGTCTGCACGTAAAATTCCGCCATTCCAGAGATGCTTTTTCTGCCTTCAAGCAAGATTCCCAAAAGCGGCCGAGCCGTATTCTTAAAAATACGGCTCAACCACTTTTGAGAACCCCACTGAAAGCAAAAATATGTGCGGTACATTCTTGAAGCATCTCCAGAATGGCAAGACTTTAAGTGTAGACCGCTTAGAGGGTTAAGAATCCAGACGGTTGCTCAGTTTTCGCAGAGAGCTAATAACCATTGATGAGGGCCTTGGTTCTCTCGCATCCCTTCTAAATGGAAAAGAGATTTGGATATTGTCTGATAGTAGAAGTGTTATATAGCACGTCCATTGGCAACGTGTGAGAGATAATGTTGGAGTGTCAATACTCAACAAGTTAAAATGACTTTCCCATCGCATCAATTCATCTGCAGTGGATTCCCTCTCACATAGATCAAGAGGGAAATGAGATTGCGGACACTTTGGCCAAGGCTGGCGCTTGCGAGGTCCCAGAGCCGTCACCACCCTTCACCGTTTTGGACTTTTTCTCAAAAATTAAACACCATAATTAGACCGCTAGGATTATCCCTTCCCCAGAACACCATTGGTATCAGTGTTCTTGTCTGGAGACTCCCTTGCTCACGGTTTTATGTATAGTAGACAGGAACAAACTATTCTAGCCAGCTTTCGAAGTGGTTACCTTAAATCCATGAAATTTTCTGAAGAATCCAAGAGCTTTGAAATGTGTACCCACTGTTCTTCTGAGCCGGCCTCGCCTGCTCACCTTCTCGAATGCCCTGAGCTCACCAAGCAGGAATTAACTGACGATCCCTTACTGGTGTAAGATTTTTTGAGAGTATACGACGTCATAGACCTGGTCGCACTGCTGGCCAGTGGGGGCGTGCAACAACAACAACATTATGTCATTTTTTGTGTTCCGTAATGGAACTCTTTCTAGTTTCCACATCAAAAAGTGCTTGTATTGATATGTATTGTTATAGAAATTTTAGACTTTGTCCACTAGTCTGATGAAAAAGTATTGTGGACAGAAAGATCATTTGTAGGCTCAAAAAGAATTCTCTCCAGTAATTTTAAATTATTAGGAGTGATCTTGGTGATAGTCTGGTGAGTAAATTTGTTCACCAGTCCTTCGAATTCGGCGACAAATACAGGTGTTCCGAATGAAAAATACCAGTGGATTCTAGAATGATTGTTTCCCATGAAAATTCTTGAAGCTTCTTCTTAGCCTATACAAGGACAATATAGGAAATCAACACTGGAGTCAAAGCTTGGCAGTGACTGTGTGTTTCGTTAGCATAATGGAATAGTGCACAGAGGAATTTATCAGGGGGGGGGGCAGGTTCGGCAGTTCACCATTCTCGTAACATGCTCCATTTGATTTTGTCGATTTTCGGGTACAAAAAACAGTAAAAAATTAGTTATTCAATAAATAATTAGCATTAATAAATATAATTAATTATTAATAACAAATGCTTAATTAAAGTTTACGTACTATATACATAGGATTATAATCAATCGGAGAAAAACTAAGGGCTTTGGGGGTGGGGATCCAGACCCGAGGATCCCCGCCCCCTTGTGTGCGCCACTGACATAGTGTGATAGAGTGACTACAGATTTTTATTGCAAAGTCAATTTTTATTGTGTGCTTTTGTTGATTTTTATACGTGTACGTTAACTGTTTCCTCTTTGAGGAAAAATAACGAAGTAGAAAAATAACGGACTACTCTGAAAGGACATTCTTGCTATTTAAATGAACCTTGCTGCTTTTGAAAGACGATACATAAAACAATATTTTGCATTTTATATGTCCTTAGAATTAATTATATTCTGATAGAGAAATAAGCATTTTTAGCATGTGACTATTTTATGTAAAGATTTATAATTAATTATGAAATGAATCGATGAATCAAAGACAAAGTTGGATACTTACGTATTCTTACTTATCTCTGCTGAATTAATTATGTTTGCTTAATTCTCTTCAGATACGATTCTGTTAATTCTAGAATATTTAGTTATTTATTTTCAATGCTCACAAAAATGGAACAAAGGAGTGGAGTAAATGCCGCGCTTTCAAGGAAACTTTTATAAAAAGTCTAAATTATAACCCTATCATTTTCATGAATATTGTATAACATTCAGTCTGAAAATCGCAAAAAAAAGAACAATGATACTTGAGTAGACGGAGATTGTATTTATTTCATTTCTTCTCTTTCCCCTATCATCCTTTTTTTCCTTTCTATTTCGTTCTTATCACCAAGTCTGTTTTCTGCAGTTTTTCTTTTTCAACGTCATATAGCTTCACAAATGATTTTTTTTTTGTGAGATTTTCTTTGCTTTTTTAAATGAAGAGTTATTCTTATCACAGTCAAGAATTCATACCAAATTCTTAAAAGCTACACTTAAGACTGTGAAAAGTTTCTGGAGGGTGAAAAATGGATTTATTAAGTAAAACCCCAAAAACTTTTAATAGTTCCCAGCTTTCTGTTAATGCAGTTATGAATTTTTAAGACGAATTTGAGATTTTTTCGTAAGTTACTCGATACTTTAATGCATTAGCAAAATTAAGAGCGTTTTAACAAGATAAATTCATAGTTAAAAGCAGAATAAAAAGTTAAAAAAAAATTTTTTGCTATGACCACAGATAAGTTATAACTTAAATTTTGAATGTATTTGGGTTAGTACAAGGGGAATTTGTATTGTGCTATAAAATTATTTATTCATATGTTTGTACTCATAATAATATTTTTTGGGGAAAAAATAAACCCCTATTTCTGGGAAAAAGTATTTTAAAAAAAACAATAGGTTTATGGTAGCTGAAATAGGTTATAAATCCAAGATTAAAATTGTATTTAAAATCATGAGAAAAAACCGTCAAATTGTTCCATATTAGTCGGGCCCTTTGAATCATTTCACATAATTTTGAATTTTTATTTTAAAAAAAACAACAAAGGTTTTTTATTTCCCTTTGAAAATCTACTTTTTAAATTTCACTTCAAATCCCGGTAATTTTTAAAAAAACCCAATCCGGCGGGAATTTTGGTTGTAGTTTTTCATTATTCAATTCTATCCTTAATTTTTAAGCAAAGGGGTAGTTAAAAGGGGAGTTTATTGGGAAAGAGGGGAAACTAGGTAAAAACCGAAAAAAAGATTTAATCAGTAGATTTATATCCTTCTTAAAAAATACTAGCTCTTTGATCATTGGGCAGTTTTTTACTAATATATCCCGGGACTGCTGGGAAAATCTTCTTAATTATATTTTGTCTTATTATTTTAAATTTTTTTAATGCAATTTTTTCTTAATACCTGTATACATAAATTTTTTTTAAATTTTTTTAATTGTTTAAATTTTTTTTTAGCCCAAAAAAGCATATTTAAAAAATTATGTGATTAGTAGAAATTTTTTGTTCTTTGGGCTTTTTTCCCCGATTCCCCTTACAAAAATAGATTTTTATTCCAAGATTTTCTACAATATTGCTAATTATAATTATTTTATTTACCCGGTTCTATAAAAATTTTCTTTTTTCTACATTTTTTTTTTTAATTTTTGTGTAGGATTTTCTTTTTTCTAAGCCTATTTTTAAAAAAAATTTTAAAGTTTTATTTTATACTTCAACTAGGATTAGAAAAAATTCCCCATTCATTTTTCAAAAAGGGTGGGGAGGGGCTAGAGATCGGAAACTAGGGACCTTTTCTTTTACGGCGTATTGGTGGTGGGGGGCAAACCCTCCCTCCCCTTTTTTTTTGGGGGGTGTATGTCCCCCCCAAAGACGATAAAAGCCGAATGAGCGTTACATAAATTGAACTTTACGTTCCCTTTGTTCACTCTCCAACAAAAAAGCGCCAATAGAAGTTTTCACTTCAAAAAAGAAAAAAATTTTACGTCCCAAAAAAAAAATTCCAATAAAAGGGAAAAATTTTCTCTAAAAATACTACGATGGTTTGACATCTTAAAATTAATCACTTTCTAACAGTTTTTATCCTTTTACTAATATCACGTTCCTTTAAAGAAAATAAATTCATAAAGCATTTCCATCCGTTGAACTCTGCGGTTTTAATGATGGCCGCGGTCACCTAGTGGTCATGGTCACGGACTCGTGGCCGAAGTATTATGAGTTCGTGGCACTGAAGATTCAAAAAGGGAGAGACCGGGTGCCCGTTAAGTCTTTTAAATTTCAAAAAACTTTTCCCTTGGCGGGGGGGAAACGGGAGGGGAGATGCCAGTTCAAGTGTCGTCTTTATCACTTGGCCCTAGTTCCCAATGACGAAATAGGAACTAGTGCTACGCGTAAAGCCGCGATTGTTGTCGAGTGATATGGAATCCAAGATGGCGGCCTAGCTATAATAAATTGCCAGGAAAATAATTTAAAAGAACTGCTTTAAAATTTTCAAAAAAAAATAATTAAGAAAAACCAATATTAGCAAAAATTTTAAAAAATAATATAATAGTAATTATATAAAATAATTATATTACGTAATATATAATAGTAATAAATATATAATATAATTATAATTATTATATATTGTATTAATAAATATTATTATGTAACTATATTATATATATATTATACATAAAACAAGTGATATAAAAATATTTAAGTCAATTCTCCTACTTAGGTCAACAAAGCAAAATTTTTATTTTAGTTTCTTTTCATTAAAAAATACAATTAATATAAATATGTATAAACATATGACATGTATGTACATAAGACAGAATCATAATATTAAGTAATAAATAGAAGGTGGTTTTCCTTGCAATTTTCCATTTTCCTTTCTATAAAGGGTGTTGGGCTCTTTCTTTTTTGTTTGTGTTTTTTTTTTTGTTACTTTTTATTCATTAATAAATTTGATTATTCTAATAAAATAGTATATCAAAAAAGAAATCGCATTCCCAGAAAATGGCCCTTCCAGGTAGGATTCAAACCCATGATCTTTCTATTAGAAGTTGTCAAACGCGCTATCCATTGCGCTACAGGTACACCATGAGCGATTTTCCTTTTTATATATGGTGTTGGATTATTATTTTTGTTTGTTACTATTTATCTATTTTAATTTAATTAATGAATTAATATTTGAAAAAACCTTATTAACATGAAGTGTCATCCACTACAAATTTAAAAATAAGTTTTTGAACTTGAATGGATGAATAGAAAGTATTTTATTAACGATTGAAAATTTGAACAAGATATATATATATATATATAGGGAGAGAGTGAACTAATAGTAAGAATTGAATAATGAAAAACACAATTAATATTAATCAATAATGAATACCAATTAATAATTGCTGATAACTTGTAATATCTCAAAAACTACGAGTTCTTTTCATAAATTTCATCGAACAAGGAACGTTTAAAAATGCATTATTTAAAAGTAAAATAAAGTGCAATTTGCAGCAAGAATTAAAAGCACTGCCCTCATATTCTTAAAAAATATCCTAGTTCTCCCTCATGATATTAGAAATATCCATATTCAAAAATAGCACAAAATACAACTGAAGCAGTGGTTTGAAGAATGATTGCTATAAAAATGGTTCAATTTTGAAATAAATCGTATCAAAATCTTTTGAAGTAAATAGGGTTACCCCGAAAAACAATGAAAAATAACTATAATATATGTCATCCACCGAGCAACCACACAATCATAAGAATAAAAAATATCAATGTAATCTTATTATAATGTTATCGCCTATCTTGACGTACATAAACAACAACTTGGCGTGAAGCTCTCCGGTATCAAATCACCACCAGGAAATTCATCCCCAATAACCCTTGTGCTGCTTTACATTGCGACTCGTTTCGATTCGAAGTCGTTTCGTGTGAGAAGGTATTGGGAGATAAGCATTGCTTTTTAAATACATCTAAAGAAAGAATAAGAAAGACATTAGCTGAGAGTACCACAGAAGACCAGTAGATATAAATACAGCGATAAATGAAAATTGTTAATAATCCCATGCACAGAAACTGACTTGGGAAAATGTCCCGAGAAAACCTATTTGGGAAGATAGTTAAGATCAGATGTCGGCAATCTATTGGCTGTGGCGTGCCAAACCAATCTACGAATATGATTCAGCGTGCCACACAGTAGAACATTTTTGAAACAATTCGATTCCTACGACAATTCATGCAGAGCTAGGGAATAGATATGAATAATATAGATTTATACAATTTTACCATATATTTATTTTAAATCTTTTAAAGATCACAAAAATAAACACAAAATATGTATAACTATTTCTTCAACAAAAATAAATAAAAAATTAAAAGTGGACATATATTATGAATTTTTAAACATATTCATTGAAATAAGAAATAGACAACATGAAATATAAGTATTTCTCTTCATTATAGTTAAATAAAAAGCTAAAAGAGAGAGAGATTTTAATGCGAACCTGGTGCTTGCACTGCTCTACTTTCATATCACAAAATCAGGGATATAATGTGTGACTTTCACTTTGACACGATTCTGAGCATTCAGTTGTTAAACAACTTCTTTGTGGTCTCGAAATATTTATCATATGAGAAAAAGAGACCCCTGTTTAAGATCATTTTCATAGATAAGTAATATCTGTATTCTGCTAGGAAGTGAAGCAAACCGTTCTATTAGTGTGAGTATTCATCATATTTTGATTAAAAAAATAAACATTTACCAAAACTTCCTCGTGCCTGTGTTTACTAATAAGGTTGCGATTCCTAATCCACTTTATGTCTGCATAGACACTTTATACGAAGTTTATCATCATACATATTGTGCAAACTGTACGAATTAAATATCATTCTAAATTCCTGTCCTCTTTAACAACTTCGTTTCTTCCAAATATTTACCTTGTATTCACTAAGTACCAAAATAGCTAAGTGTTATTAGACTCAAATATATGTTTAACTAATCTTACACTGAAAAATCCGTATTTATCCATCAAAAACACTACTCGAAATTTGTTTCATACATTTTATCTTTCCGAATAAAAACTAATTTTCACCTTCTGCAGAGATAACACCCTACGTGCCTCTCTCGGAGGGCGCCAAGTTTTTAGCATCCTGTTGACCAATGTCCGGCCTATCTGGAATGTGGCAGAGGTTTACCCCTAATCCCCACAAAGTAAATAGTGAGTCGGAGTATCGGAGGTGGACACCTGGATTAAAGAGAATGGGATTCCGACGAGATGCTCTTAAGCCGATCAGAGCGCAGTTTGTCCTTTCCGCTCTGGTCCGAGATTAAATGCCCCTAAAAGGAAACAGAATTTCACTTCCTTTTCAATGATTGAAGTATTTGAATCTCTTCTGGAGCTTCATATCCGCAGTAAATAATTCTTTGAGGGTTTCTAACACGGCATTATAAAGAAATAACAGAAATTGCAACATAATTATAATACAATTAAAGGCCATTTTCGAGCAGACTGTCGGAGATGAGATGTACCTGGGAATCTGAAAGTAAAATAAAGTGCAAGAAAGTATTTAATTTTCGAGAGAGATCGAAAGTTAAAGATTAAAGCGATTCTTAGTTTTGCCTTTTCAGATATTCTTTTTTCTCTTTTATAGATTTTTTTTCTTTATGTCTAAGTGATTTCAGTTTGGCAGCGAAAGCGAGGAGTCCTGGTTTCAACTCGAGGTTGGTGTTGCATCTGTCGAGGACATGAATTCGAATTCTAGCGCCACTAGAGACCCGCTATAAAAAGAATTTGGTGCATGTTAAATCTGTCGAGTTTTCAGTGAGTGAGTGAATATTAACGTAGCACTGTTCAGCTACACGAGGGCTTTCAGCGACGGATTTCGTCATTTTGAACCTGGTCAATTGATGAGGATGACACCTGAGCTGGCACGCATCTCCTAACTATCACACCACACCAACGGGATCTCTCGACAGATTTAATGTGCATCACTTTCCTACACGACGGGTGTTTAGAGGTACTGGGATCGAACTCGGGACATGCCAGCACGATCCGATACCTTGACCACTAGGCTACCGCGGCCACCTGTCGAGTTTTCAATTCCTTACGTCGGCGTTCTGAGGAAGCTTAGAGAACGATGCTATTTTAGAGTTCATCCCCGTCACTTGACCATGGTTGAGAATTATGGAATTCGTTATCAATAGCTCTCACATTATTTCAAAGTGGTGCGTTTATAAACAATCCATCAATTAAGAAATTTCATTGAACCATCAATCCATCGAGTTCCTTTCTCCAAAATTTTTTCTTTGTTTATTATTTCAACAATTCAGCTTCCATGTCACAGGTCCGGGTTCTATTCCCGGGATGGGCAAGGTCGACTCAGCCTTTCGTTTCTATTGCAGTGGGTCGATAAATGAGTTCCAAGCTTGCTTGGGGACTTCAACACTGGGAGTCTCGCTTCAGACTTACCATCTGATTGGGACATCTGCTCATGCGCCACAGCGCCTAGTGGTCACATATAGTGGGATGGGCGTAGTAGGCCCTGGCCCTCATGGGCTGTTGCGCCACTGAGTTTGAGTTTTATTATTTCTAAACTCAATCACGAAAATTAACTTCCTTTGTAATGTTATAGAGTTTAATTATGATTATATATTATACAGGGTTTTTCGCTACTAGACCAACAAACTCGCATAGGAATTCAAGGGAGCAAATGCGAGCTATGGTGCAAAGAAGTAAAAGAACAGAAACAGCTACACATGAATAGGACAGAAAATATTTCATTATCACCAGACCTATCATGTATGGATTTCTTCTCCTGGGGTCTCATGAAAAGTATACGTGAAACACATTTGTGTACAAGACGCCCGTTCCTTCAGTTACAATTAGAGTTTCTGATTTCCCGGGAATGTCCGAGGAATCCCGGGAATGGAAAAGTTTCAAAAAATTTATATAAAAACAAATTATTTTTAAATAAAATCAATAACAATTATAAAAAATAAGGATACATATTAATTCCAAAATTAATACTTATTTATATATAATGAGCTAAAAAGTACAAAAAATATATAATAAACTGATTATTCATTTTTAAAATAGGATTTCAGAAAGCATAAGCAATTTATACTTTTATCACACAGCCTAGTTCTAAGCTTGGTGACGAACAATCAGACAGCAGAAAATGGTCTCTCGGCTACAACTGACGTTGGAGGAATTGTTTTTAAAGCTTCACATAGTTTTATAATGTTTGGTGATGGATATTCAGTCGAGTCGAACAACTTCATCTCTTGTTTTATGATTTTGTTGAAACTAGTACTTTTCTTGGTTGAATAATATAAATTTTTTGTTTTAGAGTAAATTGCTTTCTCTAATTTTTCGTCCAACATCAGAGATTTTTCTTTTAAAATCTCTATGCTCTCTTCTTCTGAGTGCGAAGAGTTGGATATTGATTCCTCTTCTTCGCAGAAAAGCCTTATCCTATCATTTGAGCTTGTCTAACCAAACAATTTTTACCAGGCAATCGCGAAATATCGACAGTAATTGCAGCTGCTTCGTATTTTCTCCTAAAATTCGGGTATTGCATTAATCCTATTAAATTAACGTTGCGTCTTTCATTAATTCTTTGGATTAGACAATATTTCATATTTTTCGCTAATTCTAAATTTTGTTCGTTCAATTCTCCAATAACAAAAAAAAAAAATACACCTTCTGCAGTTAGCAAAGTTTCATTTCGACTGCATAATTTTTCTAAGCCAATTTTACCTGCTACAATTGTAATCACAGTTTCAAACTCTACATTGGCCATCATTTGTTCTTCTTTAAAGTCAATTAATGCTTTTAAACTTGCTCTGACTTTATTTCTAAAACTATTTCAAGCATTGCCAACAAACTATTCCAGCGTATTTTGGTCCCGGCGTTTCCCGGGTATAGAAAAAGTATAGAAATCTTATGATTTCTCGGGAAAGAAACCCTAGATACAAGACTTCATTGTTCGAATATCTGTTGCTGCCGGGATTATACATGACTTGCCAAGAACCTTCCAGAATGTAAGGAATTCCATGCAGTGCCATTGTTAGGCTTGCCTGATGGAT